ACGCAGGGAAGCTTCAGCGAAGCTTCCTTTGCTGCATGCCTTACCTCTGAATGTACGTGTAGAACGTTTGCAAACGTTTCGACGCAACCTACGAAAACCAAGTGAAGGGTCCTGCGCTACCGCATGCTACAGCAGTGCTCAAGTACTACATAGGCTGCCTCCTCCCCCCCAACCCCAGGCCCTCAGCTGAGCGCCCAGAACGCCGGGGGACAGGGAAGGTATGTTAGCTGAATTGAGGAAACTGTTACCTCCAGTCGCTGGCTTCATGCAGCTCTCTCCTGTCCTGGAGGCGGGCCGGAAAGCGCGCTTTGTCGGGAACATCCAGGTTAGCCGGAGAAGTTTACAAACTATGAAAGCCAGTCAATATATAATAATTTACCGAAACTGACACAAGTGTATTAATTCAGTTGCCGTATAATAAGAATTCCAATGGCATCAGCAGGAATAGTCATACAGTCACTCCTCTGTAGGGTCGCCAGCCGACGCTAGAGCGGAGACATCCGTTAGAAGAAAAGGAACATGCACAAAATAACACTGAGAGTCTTGGTTTCAGGAAAATTATTCGAAAACAAAACTCCGTTTGTCTAGGGCGAGGCCGGACGCCCGCTCTGCAGACATCCCCTGGTGGGAGATTCGGTACTCGGTCTCCTGTCCCCAAGGTGGCCGTATGCCCGGTTGCTGTCGGCCAGCGTTGTATAGCTCCCNGCCGTATGCTCGGTTGCTGTCGGCCAGCGTTGTATAGCTCCCCCTTGAGTGACCATGACGGTTCCGGCGTACGGAATCTCTAAATAACGTATTTTACTGATGCTATTACTAGAACATCACGCATCTATTCACTTGTAGGCCTCGGGCACTACGGTTCCCGCCGTGGACGGCAAGCCCATGAGATGCAGCACTCGATACGAGTTTCGAGTTGAAGAACAAGTTCCGTCAAATTACTTCTCGTTTGTAATCGCGATCAGCAGTCGTTTTTTCTGTCATTAGTTTGTGTAAAAGAATTTCGTGAGGCCCACACAAGCTACATCGCGAGCTTCCGCTGCCCCCTTCCCTATCATTCTCTGTGCCTTTTTGTGGAGTCATTCGCTTGAAGAGTAGCATTATCTTTGCATGATCTGCATTCGATCCAATCAGTTACCATTGAAATGTGTTGGGGGGGTTCAGGAAATCGACCTCCCTCTAAACGATCAGCGTAAGAGGGGTCTACTGACATTTACGCTTCCTTGGATGCTCCTCCGGGTGACTGGCGTCATTGTGACCTCATGAAAAGCAAGAAGCAGTCATTCAAGCTGCCTGGCTTGCGCAGGTGTTTCTGGTGTTTGTGGCTGTTTGTGGCACTCTGGATTGTGGAGCAGCAGAATGTGTACTCATCACGGGCATCAGGTAGAAATGCCGCCGAGGAGGATGCAGAATTGGAAACCACCAGAGGAGTACCGGACGATACGATGGCTAGGTTGCATGCAGAACTGGCTGCCCAGCAGGAAGTAACGAATCCCCAGCTGGCGAGTTTACACCTTACAGAGAACCGATGCCACGTAATTGCTTTCACTGTGCTTTTCTTAATATTAATAAGGGCAGTTGTACTTCTCAGGGAGCGAGAGCGCAAAAAGAAGGCGGAAGAAGAAGTTAAACCTCCCCAAGAGGAACCCCACCCGGAAGGAGAGGAAGGAAAAGAAGCAGAAGAAGCAGGAGAAGAAGGAAAGCCTGTGCAGGAAGAAGAACCTTCGCCAGAACAGGTAGTTTCGCAGCCAGAGGAACCTCCGAAAGAAATACCCCTGCCCCGAAAAGAAGCAGAAGAAGCAGGAGAAGAAGGAAAGCCTGTGCAGGAAGAAGAACCTTCGCCGGAACAGGTAGTTTCGCAGCCAGAGGAACCTCCGAAAGAAATACCCCTGCCCCGAAAAGAAGCAGAAGAAGCAGGAGAACAAGGAAAGCCTGTGCAGGAAGAAGAACCTTCACCGGAACTGGTAGTTTCGCAGCCAGAGGAACCTGCGGAAGAAATACCCCTGCCCCAAATGCCTATGGCACAAGTGCCCGTGCCGATGCCGCGGCGTAGACCAAAAGCGGAAGTTCCACATGAGAAACAAACGAAACAACCAGAGGAGCCTGGTGGAAATGCAGTACCAGATGAAGGATTCGTGCAGAGGCCGATATCTCGTGCGAAAAAGAGTCGAAAGGAGTTTGTCGGGAAGGCGGGGCCTCCTCCGGCGGCCCCCTCGCAGGTGCAACCAGGTACTGAAGAGGAAGTGGCACATGGGCAGGGGCCTCCTACCGGGGCTCCTGACCAGCTGCAACCAGGTATTGAACAGGAGGCAGAAGAAGTGGAAACCGTTCAACAACCGACTCAGCCACTACCTGTTGAGCCTACGCCAATGCAGCCTACCTTGCCACAGCTTCCAGAACAACCAGCGCCAGCTCCAGTGCCTGGTGTGCCGGAGTTGGGGTATGTTGAGCCTTCTGTCCCTCCAGCAGTCGCCCCTGTGGCGCCCCACGAAGTTCCAGAACCCATACCTGTCACGGATATCCAGGGTAATGAGAAATTGCGAGATTTGAGGGCTCGTCGGAACGTCATCAGCAGTCTGGTGGGTGTTGCAACGAGGCTGACAGATGAATTGATGGCAAGGGAGACACCGGGGATTGTTAGAACATTGAAGCAGAATGCGGAAACAGCTGAAAAGGCGGAAGGGCAGTACGATTTGGCAAAATACCGAGGAGATCCAAACCTTCCATACATTCGGAGTGAGACCACCAGCCTAATGGAAGCATGCCTTGAAGGAGCCCGCGATGCTGTATTGCAGTTGGTGAACCTGGCAAAAATCCACGGTGAGAAAGTGCATGCGTACTGTTCTGAGAAGGCCTTTTCTTCAGACTACGAGAGCATGCGGAGAGGTCTGGCGGAGATGGCCGATTGGAAAGAGTTCAAATTGTGTCTCTTGACGCTATCTTCGGTGGTAAATACCTCGGTAGCTCTGAAACATGAGAATGATGCCCAGCTTAGAATCTTGCAGTCAATAGGGTTTGTTGACGAATGCGGAGGAGATGATCTCGTCAAAGCATACGCAGCCGTTGCTGCCATGAATTTCAGGATGGAAACCTTGCAACGCTTGTCTGCTCTGGGCAGCGCATTGGAGAGATATATACTACAAGCCCAAAAGTCTCTGCTGACGGGAAAGGTGCAGCTTGGACTCGTACCGCTTGAGATGGATGCAAATTTGGCACAGGCGCTCCATGTGTTATTGTCAAAAATTCGCCCAGCACCTGCGGGTCAGACAGCATCTGGAATAACAGAAGAAGAATTACATGCCGTAAACAATTTGCTTCGACAGCAATATCAAGATCTGCAAGGTATGGCTAGTGCGAAGGACGTCCATGCTGTTGCAGCTGTGTACGAGCGCGCACAGCTAGTTAATCAAAGGCTCAAACCCATATTGCAGATGCAAAAGGAGAAGCTCAATTCAACTCTGAAGCGCCAACCGCTCAGCAAGGAAGAGGCCAACGCTGCCGCTGAGGCTATGGCGAAAATTGCTGAGAGTGTCGTCGACGACAGCGAAGATTTCTGGCGCTCTGCGCATGATCTTTATGCACAGATTAGTGGCAAGCCTGATGATATGCTTAGTTTTGCTAGCGGGAAAGTGCTACTGCAAACGCTGACAACTAAGAT